GTCGCGCACGATGATGCTGATGTCGGCTCCCGAGTAGCCGTCCGTCTTCCTGGCCAGCTCGTGGATGTTGGCCTCCGTCAGGCTGTGGGGCCTGTTCCCCAGGTGCAGCCGGAACATCTGGGCGCGGGCCGCCTCCTCCGGCAGCGGGATGTAGATGCGCTTCTCAAACCTGGGCAGGGAGCAGGCAGGGCGGTGAGCAGCCCAGCCCCCCTCCAGCCGGGAGCAGCCTGCTGGGCCCGGCCCCACTCACCTTCGTCTAATGGCCGAGTCCAGGACCCAGGGGATGTTCGTGGCCCCCAGCACCAGGGTCCCGTCGTTGTTATTGCCGACACCTGCCGAGACAGAGAGCGAGCCTCAGGGCACAGGCCCGGCTGGAGAGCACGTCCTGTGGGCCCCGGGGCTGGACCGCCGCCCTGCCTCCCGGGCCCCAGTCACACAGAGGGGAGGAGCCTTGGGGGAGACTGTGGGGGGAAGGGCTCAGCCAGCGGCAGAGCCATGACAGACCCTTCGCATCTGCCCTCAGTCAAAGGGGGCGAGCAGGGCAAGGACCAACAGGCAGCCTGGGGTGGCTGGAGTCCAGGGCCCTGGAAGGGGCGGGGCCTCAGGCAGAAGGGGCGGAGCCAGGGATCAGACTCGCCCACCTAGGCTTTCATGGCTGCTGCTGCCACTGGCAATGTGAAGGGCCCAGGGCTCCGGCCACCACTGCCAGGCCCGGGCGGCTGCCCCTTTCGCTCCCCCTGCTGGCAGGGTCCAGCGGCGCCTCGTCCGGGCTGGTCCCCACGGGTGCGACTTGCCGCTGCCAGGTCCCAGCCCAGGCTCGCCCACCTCTGCCGAGGGCACAGCAGCTCCCCGCCGCCCGCCCGGCGCCAGCCCCACCCACCCTGCATCTGCACCAGGAACTCCGTCTTGATCCTGCGGGCGGCCTCGCTCTCGTTCTCGTTGCGGGAGCCGCACAGGGAATCCACCTCGTCGATGAAGATGATGGAGGGTTTGTGCTGCCGGGCCAGCTCAAAGAGATTCTTCACCAGCCTGGGGCAAAGACGGGGGCTCAGCACCGAGGGGCGGGCAGCCTCCCCGCCCCCGCCGTGCCCCAAGGGGCGGAGCGAGGACCAGCCCCCGGGGGCCGCAGGCAGGGAGCTCCCCCGACCGTCACCGCCGCCGACTTACTTCTCGCTCTCCCCCAGCCACTTGGACATCAGGTCCGAGGAGGAGACGGAGAAGAAGGTGGAGTTGTTGGCCTCGGTGGCCACGGCCTTGGCCAGGTAGGACTTGCCCGTGCCCGGGGGCCCGAAGAGCAGGATCCCGCGCCAGGGAGTGCGTTTACCTGCAACACGCCACGCGCTGAGCAGGCTCCCCCACGCCGGGCCTGGGCAGAGCCGGCTCCGCACGGCGGGGACAGAGCTGCTGGGCTCCAGCGCACGCCACGGGGCTTCCCTGCGCCAGGACTCTGCCCCAGCCATGCTGCTGCCCGGGCGCTGGCCGGGGGGTTTCTGGGCCCTGCCGGGGCCAGGCTGTGGTCTCCGTGCAGCCCCCTGCCCCCTCACCTGTGAACAAGTGTGGGAACTTGATGGGTAGAATGACGGCCTCCTTCAGGGCCTCCTTGGCGCCCTCCAGCCCGGCCACGTCGTTCCACCGCACGTTCGGCTTCTCCATCACTACGGCGCCTGCAAGAGGACAGCAGCTGTCCCGAGCGGGCAGAGACCACCCTGCCCCCGCGCAGCACCAGCCCGGTCAGGCTGCTTTCCGGGGCCCGGCGGCCACGCTCGGGGGGAAGGGGGTGTCTCCTTTTCACCAGGGCTCACGAGAGTCTCCAGCCCTGCCCAGTGCCTGTCAGAGCAGAGCCGGCCCAGTGGCCCCTCACCCCCTCCAGGAGCGGACCAAGCAGTGCCAAGGCCCCCTACCTGCTCCCCTCCCCTTCCTTCCCCCGGGGCTCTGCCTCCCAGGCCTCTTACCCATCAGCTGTTCTTGGGGAAGGGGGTGTCTCCTTTTCACCAGGGCTCACGAGAGTCTCCAGCCCTGCCCAGTGCCTGTCAGAGCAGAGCCGGCCCAGTGGCCCCTCACCCCCTCCAGGAGCGGACCAAGCAGTGCCAAGGCCCCCTACCTGCTCCCCTCCCCTTCCTTCCCCCGGGGCTCTGCCTCCCAGGCCTCTTACCCATCAGCTGTTCTTGCAGCTTCTTCTTCTCAGGGTTCTCGCCCTCGCTGTCGCTGTCGCTCCTGCGGAGAGGCCATGGAGTCACAGTGAGGCCCTGGGTCCCGCTACCAGGGGAGGGGGGAGGAGCTGGCCTGGCCACGCCACAAGGGACCCAACCTCGCAGGGCCAGCCCCAACAGGAGCTGTCGGGGGGAATCTGGGGGCTGCTGCAGGGTATTACCCCTATGGGAACACCGCAGTGGGGCTCATCTGAGCCGTTTCTCTATGCGTGTCACTGTGCGCTGAGAGTGACACGGCTGGTGCGCTGGAGCCCGTCACGGGGCACGAGCTGCCCCACGGACCCGCTGAGAGAAGGCAGCTGAGAGAAGAGCTCTAAGGCTGCCGGCCAGCGTCAGGACAAAGGAGATCCTGGCTGTACGGCGAGACTACAAAGGCAGCTGCATCTTCTCCATTTCGTCCTCAGCCCTGCTGCTTACCCCTGGAGCAGGCTTTCTCCAAAGGAAACCCTCACAAGACTGTATGACTCACCCAGGTTGACTGACTCGTCCAGAGGGGATGAACTACAGGTGACCATGGAGTGATCCATCTCCTCACCCATTCCCAACTTCTAACCTCCATGAACTTATCTAGCTCTTTTCTGAACCCTGTTAAAGTCCTGCTCTTCCCAACATCCTCTGGCAAGGAGTTCCACAGGTGGACTGTGCATCGTGAAAAGAAAAACTTCCGTGTTTGTTTTAAACCCGCTGCCTATTCATTGCAATTGGTGAGCCCTAGTTCTTGTGTTATGGGAAGGAGTAAATAACACTTTGTACCTGCTTCCTCCACACCAGTCATGATTTTCTAGACCTCTATCTTATCCCCCCTTCGTCATCTCTTTTCCAAGCTGAAAAGTCCCATTCTTATTAATCTCTCCTCACGCACAAGCTATTCCAAACCCCTCGTCATTTTGGTTGCCATTCGCTGAACTTTTTCCAATTCCCCTATATTTTTTGAGATGAGGCAACCACATGTGCGCACAGCATTCAAGTTAAGGACATACCATGCATTTACACCCAGGCAATACGATATGCACTGTCTTACTCTTCCTGACTCCCAGCGTTCTGTTATCCACTCAGCAGTCGGAAGAGTTGTTTTCAGAGAACTCTCCACAACGACCCCTAAGAGCTCTCTCCGAAGTGGTAACAGCTCATTTAGACCCCACCGTTGTATATGTGGAGTTGGGGTGACGTTTTCCAATGCGCATCACGTTGCATTTGTCAACATTCAAATTCATCTGCCAATTTGTTGCCCAGTAACCTAGTTTTGTGAGATCCTCTGGAAGCTCTTCACAGCTTGCATGGGGCTTAACTATCTCGAGCAGTTTAGTGTCATCTGCAAATGTTGCCACCTCACTGTTTACCCCTTTCTCCAGATCACTATGAATGCTGAATAGGATTGGGCCCAGCACTGCCAGCTGCCCCCTCTCTCCAGTCTGAAAACTGACCATTTACTCCTACCCTTTGTTTGCTGTCTTTTAGCCAGGTCCCAGTCCGTGAGAGGCCCTTCCCTCCTATCCCATGACAGCTCACTTTGCTCAAAGACTTTCAGGAAATCTAAGCATGGTATATCCACTGGATCCCCAGTCCATATGCTTACTGACACCCTCAGAGAGCTCTAGATTAGTAAGGCATCCTTTCCCCTTACAAAAACCATACTGACTCTTCTCCAGCAAATTACATTCATCTCCATGGCTAACAATTCTGTTCTTTATCATTTCGACCAGTTTGCCTGGTAGTGAAGTCAGACTTACTGGTCTGTAATTGCCAGGGTCACTTCTGGAGCCTTTTAAAACATGGTCACACTAGCTATCCTCCAGGCATTTGGCACAGAAGACGACTTGGATAGGTTAGAAACCACAGCTAACCTTTCCGCAATTTCACATTTGCGTTCTTTCAGAACTCCTGGGTGAATGCCATCTGGTCCTGGGGACTTGTTGCTGTTTCTCAATTTGTTCCCAAACCTCGGCTAGTGACACCTCCACCTGGGCCAATTCCTCCGATTTGTCACCTAAAAAGAATGGCTCAGGTCTGGGCATCTCCCTCGCATCCTCAGCCACAATGACCAATGCACAGAATTCAGGGAGTTTCTCCGCGACGGGCTTGTTGTCCTTTAGCATCTTGAGCGTCCACACTGGCTGTTTAGCAGGTTTCCTGCTTCTGATGTACTGCCAGGTTTGGGTTTTCACTATTACTTTCTGAAGCTCTGGGCCAGCTATTCCTCAAATGCTTTTGGGCCTTCCTAATGATATTTTTACACTTCATTGGCCAGAGTTTATGCTCCTTTCCATCCACTTTCTAAGGACGCCTTTTGGGCTCTCTCTGCTTCTTCTACTTCGGTGGTTAGTCCCGGTGGCACTGTTTTGGTTCTCTCACTAGGTTTTTAAAGTGGAGGGTTACATTTCAGTGGACCCTCTATCGTGGTGTCTTCAGAAAGCTTCCATACACTTGCAGGGGTTTCCCGTTAGGCAGAGTACCTTTCCATCTCGGCTTAACCAACTTCCTCTTGTGCGTGGCATCCCCCTTTCTGACAGTTACTGCCACCGGGCCGGGCTGCTGTGGAGCCTTCCCCGCCCCGGCAGTTTTACATGTAATTATATTATGGTTTCTATGACCCAGCAATCCAGCTACAGTCGCCTCTTGGACCAGACCCTGTGCCCCAATTAGGACTAAGTCAAGAACTGCCTCTCCTCTTGGCAGTCCTACAACTAGCTGCGCCAAGAAGCAGTGATTTAAGGTGCCAAGAAATTGTCTCTCCACATCCCGCCCTGAGGGGACAGGTCCCCAGTCAATACAGGGACAGCTGAAACCCCCTATTATTACTGAGTGTGTTATTTTAATAGCCTCTCCCACCTCCCTGAGCATTTCACAGTCTCTGGCACCATCCTGCTCAGATCCCCACTGCTAGATTCGTGTTATTAGAGCATGGAATTACCATCCACGCAGACGCTACGGAAGAGTTTGGTTCATTTCAGATTTTTATTTCATTTGATTCTATGTTTCTTTCACCCACCTACCAGCATGGCCTGCTCTGTCCTTCCAGTGTATTTTGTACCCTGCTACGACTGTCCCATTGATTATCCTCATTCCACCGAGCTGCTGTGATGCCTGTTACATCAATATCCTCATTCAACGAGGCAGGCTAGTTCACCCATCTTAGTGTTTAGACTCCTAGTGTCTGTACATTAGCATTTTAAAAACTCGTCACTGTTGAGTTGTCTGCCACTACATGATGTGATTGGATGGGACTCTTCCTTTGGCAGTTTCTCATCAGATCCTACCCATATTTGATCATCTTCACTAGGACACAGAGAATCTCCTTTTACAGACATTCTGAGAGATATCTCTACGAACCACACGCTCCTTCGACTTTCCCTAGCCCTTAGTTTAGCAACCTTTCGAATGCTAAGAGCCAGCAGTCTGGTTCCATTTTGGTTTAGGTGGAGCCCATAAATCTAAACCCCTCCTCCCTACATCGTCTTATCCACGCCTTGCGACCCTGCAGTTCTGCCTTTCTCCGGCCCTGTGCGTGTAACTGGAAGCACTTCAGAGAACGCAGCCATGGAGATCCGGGATTTCGATCTCTTACCTAAACGTGGCCCCTGCAGATCTCTCTCCTGCCCTTCCCTATGCCACTGGGACCTACATGTGCCGCATCCGCCGGCTCCTCCCCAGCACTACGCACAAGTCCATCCAGAGGTCTTGAAAGATCCGCAACCCTCGCACCAGGCAGGTAAGTCACTGTGCAGTTCTCCCGGCCATGGCAAACCCACCTGTCTCTGTCTCCAATGATCGAACCCCTGATTGCCAATGCCTGCCTTTTCCTAAGGACTGGAGTCCCCCCCACCCAGAGCGGTGTCCTCAGCTGGAAGGAGGAGCCCAAGTATGGGACGGTTTCCTTCTGCTCCACACGGATATTCTCCTTCCCTGAGCCTGTCAGCCACCTCAACACCGGTCTGCATTCCCAGCCAGGGCTGCCGTAGGCACACCAGGCCACAGCCCCAGCGCACGTACCCCTTGCTGTCATTCTGAGACTCCTTGACGGGCTTCTTGCTTTGTCGGTCTTTGCTGCGTAGATAATCCTTCAGCTTCTCCGCCCGGTCCAGGTACTGCACGCACTTCGCCCGGATGCTCTCCTTCGCCTTGTCGCTGTGAGCCTCGTCTGCCAGGCACGTGAGACACTGTGAGCAGCTCTCCCAGCAGGGGTGGGGTGAGCCTACCGCACGTTGCCCCGTGGGGGCCGGCGATGGAGAATGGCCACGAGACACCCCAAGCGCCTCCTCCCTTGGGACCATCCCACAGCGAGGTCCGGGTTCTGAGCCCAGCCCCATGTTAGATCATGCACTGGGGGATCTCAGCTGGCCACCTGGCTCAGCAGCAGGTGCAGGCTGATCTCTCTGGGGACGGGCTATTTTGGGCAGGCCTGCCTCCCGGCAGGCGGGAGAGGAAAATGGATCTCAGAGGAGTAGCAAGGGAATGCTGTGCAGGGGAGAGGGGACAGACTCACACTTGATGGCATGTAAGAAGTACTCCACAGCATGCTGGTACAGCCGCAGCGCCTCCTCATAGTTCTTGGCCTTATCCTCCTCCGTTGCTTTTGTTACCAGATCAATGGCTTTCTGCAAGGTGAGACCCCAGCTCCGGTGACCCAGCCGCCCCGGGACACCGAGGGAGCTCGCAATGTAAGAGGGAAGAGCTTCCCACCGAGGTAACAGGCCACTCACATCCTTGGAGCCATCGCCTGTCTCTCAAATGAGCCTTCTGCTCAGACACGACCCACAAAACACACACGGGTCCTGGACTGGGCAAAGCCACCGGTTCCAGGGAGCAAAATCCAGGCCCAGAGCGCACCTCTGTTGCCACGCAGAGCAGCACAAGTAGGCCGGGTACCGGGCAAGGGCGGAGAAACATGCACTGGGCGGCCCTGCAGGGCAAGCCCTGTCCACATACAAAAGTTGCAGCCCCTGTTTAGGGAGAGCAGGACAGCTCCCGTACGTGGAGTTACCCTGGTTAGATCAGTACGGGTTGAACCTCCCTAGTCCAGCATCCTCGGGACCTGACCGGCTCCGAAACAGAATTTTCCAGGCCACGGGAGGCCAGTATTGTCTGGCAGCATCACCAGCACTGCCACGGCCCGCTGGGCTCTTAGAAGACATGGAGGTAAATTCGAGCTAAATAGCAGCACAGAGCACTGAGAGCCAGGCCTGGTGGCTGTGGACAGACTATGGGACCGCAGGAAACTTGGGCACACACGTGGACGTCCAGCTCACTCAAATCATGCCGGGCCACGGATGTTTCTGGACCAGAGAGTGCTGGAGTAGAGAGGTTCAGCCTCTACAGCCGTCCTTGTGCGGGGAGGGGGGTACGTGACACTGTCCTAGGCACCTTCCCCTCGCTTTAGGGCAGTGGTTCTCAACTCGTTTCAGTCCACAGACCACCAGGCCAATCAAAACACTGTCGTGGCCCACCTCCTTTTGGAGCCATGACACAAAAGAGCAGAGAAGGAACGTTTTGGCTTGAAATGGATTTCTTACTAACAGATTTTTGGTGCCTGCCCACGCCGCGTGACTTTGGACAATGTTCCTGTGGACCCCCAGTTGAGAAGCACAGCTTGAGGGCTCCTACTGGTGCCAGCGTTTTGGTAGAAAAGAAAGTCAGTCAGGGCCCAGGTGGCACGATACAAACACTGGGGCTGACCGCCCACCACCCCTAGGCAGCAGAGCTCACTTGGCGAGAGTCACCCCAGAGGGACAGGAAAGCGAAACGCCTGCCCATAGTCCCCTCTCGCTAGGCGCTGTGTCGGGAGAGGCTGCCGGTCCCCAGAGCGGGCGGCCGTGGCATGCCAAGGCAGAGCGATCCTCAGTCTCACATCTGAGTCTGCCGCAGCGAGCGAGACCCGGGCCCAGGTCCCAGCGCTGCCCTGGGCGCCAGCGAGAAAGGCAGGGGTCGCATGGCCCAGCCTGGCCTGGCTCAGCCCTACGGGCACGGCCAACAGCCAAGCCGGGGTCAGCCCACACACAACAGCTGCTGCCAGGCACCGCTGTCCACCCTGCATGCACAAGACCCCCGGGCCGCGGGGCCAGGGGCATCCGCCTCTGATGGGCTACGCGGGCGCTGGCAAAACAGGCCCAATTCCTATGGCAACGAGCTCCCAAGAGCCTGCAGCCCCCCACCGCCCCCCTTCCGGGGAGCCCGCACCTGGGGCTGGGCAGGTGGGGAGGGGGGACGGGGACATGGTGCTGGGGAAG